AAGGTCATCGAAGTGCATATTCTGAGCCAAGCAATCATCAAAGATTGTATTCTGAGCTATACAATTGCAACTCACAGTGGCCTCTCCAATTCCCATACTTGTGGGTCATCCAACATGAGAGTTTGGCAGGGCAGTTTGAGCTGTGCATTGGTGGACATGATCAGCACAGAATTGTGGTTGGTTTTGGTGTAATGAGGAGCTGCAGCATAAACAGGGTAAGGATAGATGTCTCTGCTTATATGCTGAATGTCAGATGTTATTTTGCCTGTGGGGAGCTGAGAACTATAGTTTTGCTGCTTCTGCTAAAGCACTGTTTTGAGACCAAGCGTCTTCTCGGAATAATAATAAATCCATACAGTTTACCTGCCCTGATCCTTCCCAGCCAACAATATTGATCTTGCAAAATGGTTACCTAGTTTCTATTGCATTTAGGTGCAATCCTATGCATATTTAGATAGAAAGCAGACAACTCCCAGCATTCCTAGCCAACTATGCATAGAACCTTTTGTCAGTTTTGTAGGACACCAAAACAAAATGGGGAAGGAGATGCAAGGAAGAGCCTAAAGGCACAAGTTTTCATTTGTCAGTGAAAAATAAATTTCCACAAATCATGGCTAGATAACATGGGTGTTGTTGATATTGTTCTAAATAGTATTCTTTAATGCATTGCTCAAGATATAAGTGGGCACATCTGCTTTAAGATGCAATTATTGATCGAAAATGCTTTTTGCATCTTTTGTTTTACAAAACCTTCTTATTTCAAGAGTGATTACAGTTGCAGCTTATCAGCTGTAGGCGATCCTAATTTTAAATTTTTAAAGGTATTGCAATGTTTCAAGCAAGGCATCTCATTAGTTAGTTAGTGCAGTCTAATACATTTATCCATTTGTCCCCTAATGAATAGGCTAGTAGCATTCTCATGAATAAGTGACAGATTGCATAGTGTTAGGAAGAAGATCCATAAATGACTCACTGTGGATGGTGAGACTTTTGTAATTGATGGCATTTTGTATCTGCTTATTATCTATGCCTCCAATACACTTTATCTAGCAAAGTGACGTGACATGGTAAAAATGCAGGAACAAAGATGTCAGAGAAAGACTAGTTGAAGAAGTTCTCACTCTCCCTAAACCAGGGATCCGCAGCATCTGACTTAGGGGTCGGTTTATGGGCGTCTGCCAAGTGTGTTCTGGCTGCATCACCCCCAAAGTTTTCAGCACTTTCCACTCCCCACCCCAGAGATCCTCACACTTTTCCCATCACAGCTAGCAGTAAGAAAATAGAAAATCTTCTTCATTACTTGGTGATCACCCATGAAAATAGTTTGGAAACTATAATCAATGGAAATTATAGGATGGATGGACACAGATTGCATATATTTCAATTGCTCTGGAGTATCAACACTGATTACCAATTTATTTCCAGTGCTAATTGAAGATACTGCTGTTTACCTTTAAAGTTCTGAAGCTTCTGGGTTTCTGGGGAAGCCAGATGAACCTCCCCCAAATTTGAGATCAGCTAATTATATTTTCTTACAGTTTCAGGTTGCCGTTGTCCATTTTTTCCCCACAAAGAAAGAGTCTTTGATCAAGTTCAGATGTAAAAGGAAAGAGAGGTTCCCCTGATGTCCCCACACAGGGTATTGTGGATTTAACTGTGGTTAATAAGAAGAGGCCAGGATCAAACTAAGGATTTTAGACCTTGTCTTGCTTGGAAACCATCATGTAACAAAACCATAGTTCCTCACATTCAGAGATCATAGGAAACTAGTTTGTTTAAAAAACAAAGTAGGTGCTTGGATCCAGTGCTGTATTAGTAAAATTCCTCTCACATAATAGGGCTTTCACATGCAGGAGGAACTTACCTGCTCTGCTTGTGCAAGCAACCAGATGCCCCCACCCCCTGCAGTCCACCACACACTTGTAAATCTGATCCCGTTTTGTTCCCCTAGGTATGGAGACATGGAAATGGGCTGTAGGGTGTGGGGGAGAACTCTGCCCACCTGCTATTTCCCTTCTGCTGGCAAAGCCGCACCACCCTAAGTACTTTTTTTTAAAGTACATGCAATAAATTGGCATTGTCATGCAAGGATTAATTCTGGAGTAGACATTGCAAAGTATGGGGGGATTTTTGGAGGGGGCAGTCTTTCTTACAATACTTGTCCAAAAAAAAGTAATTAATCAACTCATTATTTGCTTACCTACAATGAAATCCAGAATATTGATTCAGTAGCCAATGTGACATAGTGGTAAGAATGTTGGATTAGGGACCCGAGAGATCCAGCTTCTAGTCCCTATTCAACTAGGTGACTTTGGGCCAGTCGCATACTCTCAGTCTAACCTGCCTCACAGGTTTGGTGTTGTGAGATAAAATGGAGAGGAGGAGAACCTTGTAAGCTTCCATGGACTCCTTGCAAAAGGAATAAAGGTGGGGTATAAATGTAATTTAACAACAGCAACAATAAAAGCAGTGTGAATGGTGGACAATTCATACAAGACACATTTCTTCCTTAAGAAATGTGTATAAAAGCTTCTGAAGATAGAATGGGGAATATTATCCGATGCAACAAATTCTACATGTATTTATTTTGGTGTGCTCTAGATATGGATGAAAGGTCAATGACTGCCTGGCTCTTCTCACCCTTTGTTCCCCTAGCCCAACACCCACAGTGAGCATCAGCTACCACTGGACTGTCTATATACAATTTCTGGGTACATTATTATACAGATAATTATTTTCAGCTTTTGCGAATTGGCCCTGTGTTAACTGACACCTCCCCCCAAAAAGAACAAAAATCAGCAGAGATGGGCACATGCTGAGGACACAGTCAACCCCACCCCCCCAGCCCCTTTGTCTCATTAAGATCTACAGCTGGGATAATTGTCAGGCCTGGCATTTCAACTATTTTCTTTATTGCTGTCAGAATAATAAACTGTCTCCACAAACTGTCTCTGTTCAGAAAGAGTAATTTGGGAATTAGACTAATTAGGTCAATAGTGTAAACTAAAGAAACATTAAAACTTGGAAGGCCAATATATTCCAGTGAACCTCCTCTCATATCAAACCCACATTTCTTCTTGTTACCAAAAACTAATAATGCAGTCCATTTTCCATAAACCTAGCCCTGGTAATTAACAAAAATAATCACCAACATTGTAGGCCCGTACATATCTACAGGAAGCAAATTCTGTTGACTTCAGTTAACCTTACTCTCAATTTAATATATATAGGATGGCTAGTTCAATATTCATTAGCAAAATTCTCTTCATTTTAGGAAAAGAAACTCAAAAGCAAAAGGAAAGAAAGAAGCTAAAACATACAGCAAGCATTTCACACCCTCAGTTAACTAATGCATAAATACTTATCTTTCCTCTAAAATTGCCCAGCAGTGTCAGGTTTTAAAGGATGGGCTAGGGTTAGGGTTAGGGTTAGGGTTAGGGTTGGACTTAGGTTGAATTTTTTTTTTTTAGGTTGACATTTTTTATTTAAATAAAAACATACTACAAATTAAAAACATACTACAAATTAAATAAAAACTCATGCTAGTGCAAAAAATTTACATTCCACTAGCAGAACAACTAGCACAACAGCACAAGCAACAACTATCCTAATGAAGCCATAATGAGTTGTACAATATCTTGTGGATTGCCTTGTGCATCAGCTTATACAAATGGAAAAGTATTAAATTTGACACATAGTATAGGATGAGAACAGAGTAGCAACTTTGTGCTGAATGACACTGTTGGATGTGCTGGGGTTGCCCTAATAAAAGTTATATTTTATTCTTTAGAATATAGGAAACTGCCCATTTCCTTTCCTCTCCCCCTCCATTCTTCAGGGTTTTCCATTCAGGTTCTTTCAGTGGGAAAAGGAGCCCCTCATCTGATATACAATGGTTGGCAAGTCACTCTCAAATGCGGAGCACAGCTGGCAGGGGAGTGGTGCAGTACAACTGGTTTGAATGTTCAAATAGTGGGCCAGCACGCACTGTCTCCCTGAATTTCCTACCTCAAAGCAAACATGGAAACCTTAAATTCTGTAACTCCTGATTGTTTTATCTTGATGTGTCTTGATGTTTTTCCTGATGTCTGTAATGATTTCTCAATGATTTCTGTGCTTCTACATTGTTCTTGCATTATTGCCCATTCTCATTCTTCTCCCTGCTGTGTGTTCATGACACTCTGTCCAACCTCTGTTCCTTGTAGTCGGATCTGCATACTGACTACCCATCAGCACTGCTGTTTTTCTCTCTCATAGAAGGGTTTCCAAAAAAAAAAACTGCTAAGACTGAGCACAATACTTCTGTGCGAATCTGAACTTTCATTCTCTCCAGCCCTGAAGAAAGATTTCCTGACAGATGCAACCCATTGACTGGGTTCGCATATCACAACAAGCAATTATATTGTTTTCTAATCTTTTAACATTGTGTATTTGTCATGTTGTCTGGACCATGGACCATGGTATATCACCATAGCTTGTTACAGGGCCAGAAACCATCACAAGAAACAGTGGTCTGTTCTGTGGTTTCTGCTTATGGCAGTTCTGTTATACTGCCCAAATTCAGGAGCTCCATTTTTCTATTCATGATGAAACAAACACCATAGAGTTCTGTGGGAAGAACAGCCACAGAAGGGGCCACTCCAGCCATCCAGTACTGACTACCCATGGTCTCCTAGCAACACACACATATCGTCTCTTGCATTGTTCTTACTGACTGAATGCTGTATCTGTTTACTTTCTGAAACAGAGAAAAGGGAAGTAAATATATGGAGGGGAGAAGATGTTATTGATGGATGCATGGCGAGACCCAGCAGATGGGAGGGGCAGAAAATGATGGAAACAGCTATGGTTGTGTTAGAGAAAATGTGCTAATCATGGCAACCTTCCATTCATGCTTATCATAACATGCAAACTCACCCTTTGTCTTTAATGTTGTTGGTGTCCAATGTTCTAATCCTGAAATAAATTGAAAATAACGTTTGAATTGATTTGATTTTCAGGTCCAATGCAAGAGACAATATATGACTTCTGGAGAATGGTTTGGCACGAAAATACAGCAAGCATAGTCATGGTGACGAATCTTGTGGAAGTGGGAAGGGTAAGAAAATTTGGGGTTTTGCATAAGTTCCAGAAGTGTCAACAGTATGAGAGTTGAATGACTGCACAAAATATTTGGAGAATTTTTCCTAGTTTAAGAATACGGAACAGTACCATAATAACTGTTCTAAGCCAAACTTTTTTTCTTAAAACAAGATGCCCAAGATTCCTTGCTATTGGATTACCTACTACCTTGTGAGTCAGTCACTCTTCTCTGAAATGCACTGAATACTATACATCTTCTAAAAAGAATTAATGGATGTATTGATTAGAATAGCAGGATGGGAGTGGGGAATCACAGATTGCAATGGTTGCCCATGTGATGTGAAAGCTGCGATTGGATCTCCTGATAGCTTTTTCTATTCCTAAAGCAGCTTGGTGGATGAGAAATGGGTTGTGGGACGGCGGTGGTATCAACGCCCTCCCGTGCTGATTCCTTGACTCAGTTAAGGAATGGGGGTTATTTTCAGCTCTATGTCTAGAAATAAATTTGTGTGGTATAGCTGTACTGTAGTTTCTCTGCTGACTAAATTGCCTAGCTTTTGCTTAGTGAAGCTGTGCTTTTAGCTTCCATAACTATGGAAACAATAAGAGGAAGCAATGCCAATTTCTGGGATTTACAAAATGCAAATATCTTTGTTCATATGCACTTTTAAAGACATTGACTAGCCCACTAGAACTATTTATTTATTTATTTATAGTATTTCACTGTATCAGCATCAACGATATATATTCGATATTTTAAATGGCCTAGGGAGTGAGTTGTTCAATTTCCTGTGAAAATTTCAAACATCATCAACTATGTTGTCAACACCTCCAGGAACAGTGCATTTATTAACTGTTGAAAAAATGGGAAATTTAGGTTTTGGTGTGGCAAAAACATTAATGGTGCATACTTTTAATTTCTTATACAGTGGCTTATAATTTCCCAAGAAAAATAAATGGGTCAACCATAGGGTGACCCATTAATTTCTCAGTAATATGAGTGAACATGTAATTTCCAGTTCTCTTTATTGTAAATTCAGTTTTCATTCTGCATGGCAGTGGTATTTTGCTCCAGCTTTATTTGTTCATATTCACTTTATTGTGCATTTAAATCCTACTACTTGGATACCCAAGTGACTGAGCCTGTTCACAAATCAGGAAACACGACCATATTTGGACAACATCCTTGGGAGATTTGTGACTGTAATTGTGGGCTGTTACAAAAGCTCAGAGATGACATCCATTAGACAGGCTAAAATAGCCGGTGTGAGGCCTCCAAAATCCAAAGGATTGATGCATTTACTTTTCCACTTAAATTTAAACTCAAGAAAAAAGCCCAAACTAATTTATTGCTATGAAACTTTGCAATATAATTCATCTATTTGATAACCATATTGAATAAAATGCAATACATTTTGAGGAATGGCCAAACAGCCTAGCTAAAGTAACCATTTCGATCACTATGGGCTTTGTATCTGCAGCGAGGTACTTGTCCAATTGTTTCAGCTAGTTCAAGGCTCACCATGCCACTTCAGAACTATTTTCGTCATTTATATAAGCTTCTTTCTTCATGTTAACAGCATCCTATTATGTCCTAGCCCAATATTTTGACACTAGCTTTTTAAAACATATATAATCCTGCAACTGGGTTATGGGATACATATCTGTACCCCCACAATTTCTGAAAATTATTACATAATATCTTCAGCAACCCTCTACCTTAGAATATCTTGACTCAGTAAATGTGGAGTACCTGATTTGGTTTGGGGCCCCTACAGGGACATCACTAGCAACCTAAAATATCTTGTATGCAACATGCACTTGTCACAGAGGCAGGAGTGGCCTGGAACCATTTCTCCCACAGCTAAGATTGCAGGCAAGAGTACAATAACAGTTCCCAAGCAATCGTGTGGTTACCAGCACTTTATGTAAACCAGCATTAAGATCTACTTTAGGCTAGACCACTGTATTTCTGCAAAAGACCAAAATTTGAGTATGTTCTCCTTCATTGTGTAAAACATTCTGCAAACCTGAACCTATGCATGCTTATGTAACAGTTTTTTTAGAAAGACTGTGTTCAGTGGAGTTTAATCCCAAGGAACTGTAAGAAAGCATCCTTTAAAAAGTACCCTTCACTGATTATCAGAAACACAAAAGTCGGGCGATGAATCCCCACTGGGAAAGCTGTATGGTCTTCAAAAAAGCATATATCTCCTTTTTTTTAATTGACACTGGAAAGTTAAATCACACACAAACTGTGTTCCCTTCATAGGCATATAAGGTTGTGTAATGCTGCAGTTAGTAATGCCTTCAGCTGGCTTTCTGGCCTCAGTGTTTGTTTGGATTCTATTTCCAGCATCCTGTTTTGACAAGAGGTCAGATTTCTGCCAAGCCACTGTTGCAACTTTTCTTGACTTCGGAGTTTTCTAGTATTTTGTCGCTCTTCATGCTCACTGCTGCATTTGTTATTTGACTTACAGATCCATTCAGAAACCACCTGCCCATTTTAAATCCAAAAGCGAGCGAGGATTCGATGGGGCGGGGGGGGGGAATAGTGTTATTTTTCGGTTATGTTTGCGAGAATTACCTGTTTAACATGTTTGCCACATGCGTGGTGTTTGTCCTTCATGAATTAATCATGAAGGGGGCGGATGCGTATTTGTTTATCTGGACTGGGTAGGCATTAAATTTGTGTTCAGATATAGCTTTTGGCCTGGAGCTTTCTGCAGCAGGATGGTTTTAATTGCAGGCAGAGGTGCCACCGGGAGTCTTTCCTTCACGCAGGCACCTGCTACAGATGATTCAGTCTCTTCATTCGCCTCTAGCAGGGCCTGGATACATCTGCCAATACCTGTCATTATCTGAGGCAGGCTTGTCAAAATCCCTGCATCCTTTAAGCTCTCCTGAGTTCCAGCAAGGGACCCTTGTCAGTTTTCCTGGCACTTGTAAGCCATCGTGCACCTGGTATTTAAATAGCAGCAAAATGGGTTTTGATTGTTTTCTTTCTTTAATGAACCTACCTGAGGGACATTTAGCTCTTTATCTAGTAGCTGTTACCAAGGCATTCACATTTATGCTGCTTGTGCGGAGAGACAAAAATCAGAAATCGAAAAATCAAAGCAGTCCCCCATGCTCCCACCCCATCCCTCACTTGCATATACCATTATACTGCTCCATCTGCTGTAGGTCCTATGACAAAAATTGGCAGACGTCCCCCAGGAGTGTTTTGCTCTGGTAATTTACACTAATGATTTCTAAACATATTTAGCCAGCTTTATGAAGACCTCATTAGAATGTGAGTGAATTCTAAAAATGTAAATGGCGTCTCATTGTAATTTAGAGTAACCATTACTGAACTGCCATGAAAAATTCTTTGAAAAGTGAACTCATTCCTGCAGACCATGTATAAGCATGAGCTTTATCCTAGAACTGTTCCAGGGGATGGAAAAGTTTGAATGAGAAGGAGCTACATGTGACTTTTGGAAGAAAGATCCAAGAGGCAGGCATCAAGAGATTTGGCAAGAGATTTGTGGTAAGGGAGAGACCAGTGGTTTGGACCACTCCCCAGCCACAGAAAGGCACTGTAGCAAGACCACCTATGCCAGATGGAAATTCCATTATACCAGTACAGCCAATCACATGCCGATACATGCAATGGCTGCTAGGACAGACGTGCTTACTATTCTGAGCAACTAAAAGACTCAGCTCTTTCTTTTATTTATTTATTTATTAAAACATTTTTATGCCGCCCCATTTGCCAAAGCCTCGGGGCAACTTACAACAATAAATTAAAAGTAATTATAATATAAATTACAATAAATATAAACATTAAATTAAAAATACAAAAATACAATATAAAATTGTCCTTGTCCTTCTTTGTTCCACCATTTTTGCCTTGCTACATTCAATCCTAACTAGCAGGGGTGAGTTTGATGCCAACATGCAAAATGACTTGCCCATAATTTTTCAGTATTTGTATTGATGATTGGTTCTGGCCATACTGCTTCAGCATGCTTCTACAGGAACAATTCCAGAAATATTATTTGTCTTGCAGTGTGATGGAAATGCAATATTGATTTCTATTGTTTGGGCCTGCTGGATATAACAATTAACTGCACATTATCAGTCAAGTGTAATAATTGCTGAGTTATTTAACAATGTTTTTAACAGCCAGCGAGCAATAATTTTATTCCAGGCTTGACTGCAGTGACACATACAGTTTTTTAATATGTCAAGAACCCACAGGTAGAGATTTATTTTCATGGATTTTCTGCAGCATTCCCACTTCCAAAGAGACAAACCACATGCAGATGTTCCAGGCGAAAGTCCCATTGAACTCCGTGTGGCCAGTTCTGAGTCCGCCCACCCGGGATGGCATTGTAAAGCACGCTTATCTGAAACCAAGCCCCATTTAATGCAATGGGACTTATTTCTCAGTGGGACTGCGGCTTCTCAGTGGGAACTGCTGCAACAAACAGGCTGTGCTCTGCACATAGTTCTCCTTCAAGCCCATATCACTTCTTTACAAGCTGACTGAAGACAGTACAATGGTTTAACAATAGAACATTTAAATAGTAATTTAATTCTGAGCAAACTAAATCACAGCAAGCAGAATCTGTGTTAGTCTTCATTCAATTCATTCATCCTAGGGATGACCTTTGAAAAAAACATGTAAACAACTACAATTTCCTAGTAGAAGTGAAGGCAAATGTGATAGATGGTTAAATAAGAGAGATGCTTTATAAAAATTCAGCAGTTTTAAAATCATCTTTAATATGGCACATCAGTGAATAGGATATTATGACCTATCAGTCAGATCAGATTTCTGCTTTTAAATATACAACCAGAAATAACAAGTTGGCATTATTCCATCATGCATAGCAGGAAAGGAGTCCTGAGGGAGAATAATTGGCTGTTATTCTCTAGGAAGCTGGGCTGGCTCTTTGGTAATTGCTTAATAAAGATGTCCACAAATCAACAATGCTTGCCTCACTGAGCCAGGCACCATAAAGTATG